GGACTATTCCATAGAACATAGGGCGGCATAGCATAATATAGGATGGCCTGTTGGGCGTCTAATAAAGTATAGGATCTATAATACAGGACTTGTCGGTTACATTCCTCGACCTAGTGAAGAATATCCAAGAGTGAACCGTGTCCTGAGGGAAATTCCAGGATCAAAGTAAATACAAAGCCCACATCAACCCGCTTTGGCCAATCTAATGATTTTACCCTCCCAATAAGATGCTCGATCTCAAACTCAGAATTCTAATGTTGTGGTATTTTCTGATACGTTGTACTTTACCAAATAAAGCAATCCCGATGGGATCGAGAATTGAAATGTGAGAACACGCCACTCTAGTTAGAGGTCTAGTCCAGGTGCATTTTTATGTCCCTTCTTGTGAAACAAAATGATAAGAACTCGTCCTGATGAAGGAAGACTACCTAAATCTCGCTCCCGTTTTTTCAATTCTCAAGGGCCTTGGCAAGGCATCCTCCATTAGCTCTATACTACGGAAGACCTGATTTAAAGTTGCGCACATGGCTCCAAATTCATGCGAGGCACCACGTTTCGAAAAGCTAGGTGGTGTAAATGTCGTATTCCTGTCAGAGAATGATACCTAAAGCACGAGCACCGTGAAGTGTGTATGAAATTGCTCTACTGTTCCACCGCGATTACCGAAATTCCTCACTAAAGTTGCCGGGTGCACAAGCTATATCTTTTCACAATGAACAACCCTGACAATAGCTGCTCGATCCTATTTTTAAACGCAGTGGAAGAAGCGAGAAAGATACGAATTACTGCAGCCACTGTGCAGAGCAAAGGCTGTTCATGAGTGTCAATATCGGTCCACCAACACCGTCAAAGGACTCTGAATTTGGACCTGCGAGCTTCGCAACTACGCAGGTCAGGCAATTCAATAATGCAGATCTAGCTTAATTGGTATGAAATGACGTCGTGCCCGAGTGGTTAAGGGGAGTGATTAGAAATTACTTACGTTCTGCGTGCGCAAGTTCGAGTCTTGTCGACGTCGCCATTTCTTTTTGCTTTTTCTTCCTGCAACATGACGGATGACGGCTTCACAAGAATATGATATCCACTGGTCAGTCAATATCTTATGGCTAGAATTTTTCTGCAAATGATAACCGGCCTTCTCCTGCACTAGTCGATAGACGCTTGATCGAATTTAAAAGTCGAATCGAAAAAATTCCCACTTTGATGATCGCAAAAACTAAATCCTGCCGTAATTCGCTTCGGTAACGTCTGCCGGAAGTTGTTTTGATGCTAGCAGAATGCAAATGACAATCTCAGCGGCATCGATAGCATATGGAAGCACCCGCAGTAGAAGAAGCATGCATTCGGCTTCCGATCTTTATCCCCGGGGAAGGAGACAACAACCCCAGTCTTGTAAGGTATTCATTCATTCAACAATGCGCAGTTATAATGTACCATTTAACACCTAAACATCCTTTCGCAAACAAACTCAACTCGTTTGCTAATTTTGATCTCTACATATACCTTAGAACGCTTTCTTTCATATATAGCACTCGACCAAATAAATTTTAACACGGTAGAGTATTTGCTTTAGTAAGGAGTGAGGAAAACGTGGCATTCTGTTCAGAAAACTCAAGGCAGATGAGAAGAATGGAAGGTAGGCCAATTCTACTTCTTCCCACATGTGAATACCCAAATGCCCAGAACGATTAGGTCTTATTAGCGTTTACAGTGTGTCCCTCTCTAACGGAGTAGTATTTTTGCTCAAGCCGCCGGCGATAATTGTTGCTTGGACACTATGAATGACCCAAGCAGATTGGCGGACTTTACTTGATAAGAAAAACATCATCTATTCATGAGTATATGGCCATGAAGATATTCATCCGATCTGCGCATTCATTACCAAAGACAACTGGAATTGGCGACAAATTTCAAAGCATCAATTTGTTTGTCTTTCCACTCCAAGTCTAGATAACCTACCTGCCGTAATTCGAAAAGAGATACCTGTATATTTTCGAGGTGTAAAATTGTTTTAAAAACCCAGACGTATCTGACACAACTATCGAAGTACACGAAAAATCTAAGGGGAAGGGTTCACATGGTCGAAGGGAGCTCTCCGTCGCTGAGTTATGGGGGTAGTCCACGAAAATGGTCTGCCAAGGGTCCAGACCAACGGCCAACGTTCTATGAATGGCGGCACCCTTGAATTAACATCAATCCAGGGTCTTGTGGCGCAATTGGTTAGCGCGTCCGACTGTTAATCGGGAGGTTCGAAGTTCAAGTCTTCGCATGACCGTTCTCACAAAGAACGTTTCTAGATTCAATCTTTTTATTTTTATTTCTTACTTTTCATTTTCCATCGGGGTGTAGGGCTCCGTATCGATACCGATATCGTTTCGTGCGGGTGAAGGTTCGTGGGGTGGATCCAGCTCTGATCTAAACACATCCGTGGGTGAGAATTCGTTCTGAGCTAAAAAAACGTAGCCAGCCGTCGGAAGACAGCGTGAGCTATTCTGCGTATATGCCCCTATGCATACATAGTATCTTCCAGGGGTTCCAGGGGTTCAAAGATGAAGTCCAACATCAAGTGACTCTGAAATCAGAATAATATATCTTACCAGGAACACTTGCTTAATTGTGGACTAAATACCAGAGCCCTGAGATGACACCAAACGGCAGATAACCATTTATCCGCTATAGAAATACTGATCAGTTGCATTCAGTGTATCATTGTGACGAAAGGCTTCTATGTAGAACGCCACCCGGACGAAGCCTGGCATGGCTCAGTCAGCGAGGCTATGACGAAAGCGTAAGGCAAGGACTCTTGACCGCTTACAGGATGCTCCTCGACTCGGTTGAGGGTCTGAGCAAGTTATTCTTTGTATGGCGATCCCATACAATATAATCGGAAAACACCTCTCTTCCCAACGAGGAAGGCAATGCTCTCGCAGCAGCCTGGCACCCCTTCTCCTCCTTCTCCTCCTTCTCCTCCTTCTCCTCCTTCTCCTCCTTCTCCTCCTTCTCCTCCTTCTCCTCCTTCTCCTCCTTCTCCTCTTTCTCCTCTTTCTCCCCTCTCTCCACTCTCTCCTCTTTCTCCCCTCTCTCCCCTCTCTCCTCTTTCTTCCCTCTCTCCCCTCTCTCCCCTTTCTCCTCTTTCTCCTCCTTCTTCTCCTCCTTCACCGCCCACTCCTCACCCCCCGCCTCTACTACGAATACTAACCCCGTCCCACCCCCACTGGCGAGGTAGTTTAATCGCCATAGCCGTTGCCGCCGCTGCCGTCACTGTCGCCGCTATTGTGCACAGCCTCAACGGTGCAGGAATCAAATTTCATGGCAGCCAGTAAGCAAAAAAGGATTCACTGTTTTGCAATTTTTTAGGTGGAACTAATTCTTGCCAGAGCTGCGAATCCCCACATCGACAGTGAAAACACCCTGCGGGAATTTACTACTAGATATACTACTACCACCCTGTGGGAATATACTACTAGCTATAGTACTGCCACAGTAGTGGCCTACACCTGCCCCCCCGCACCCCCACAGGAACCAGAAGCTTCCGGCGGCTCCCTCGGTTCCCCCACAGTAATCACAGTGCAGCCATGGATCGTGAATACACTGGTGTTCTCCTTCATGGCGATAGCTACTGCGGTAGTGGTAATCTGGGGGGTAAAAACATTGGAGGAGGTGCATCTAGACGTGAAGGTCAAGGTGAAAGAAGTCGATGCCAAGATCGATACCAAAAAAATTGACGGAGCCACTGAAGTGCAAAAGGCAGATGTTGCAGGATCTGTGAAGAACTGAAGAATGGGAAGAAATAATCGAATGCCAGGAGGGAAAGAAGGAAATGATCTAACGGGGTGAATAGGCCCAGGGGTGTATTATATTTTTTTTTTTATATTCTTTTCTTTCATGTTTTATTTGCTCGCTGTTTTCGGGCAAACAATTTAACGTCGCCCCAGCGGCATGCGCATATGCATCCTCCGCAAGGACGCCGATCCGCGCCATGTGCCTCCGCAGCAGCGCCATGACAATTATTTCTTTTTTTTCCATGGTTACCCCCGTCGTATAGATTATATTTTCCATCTCACCTTTATCCATCTACTCGAGTAGTCCCAGGACACAAATACCAGGACAGGGCTAGGCAAAATACCTAGCATAGTGTCCCGATACTTTGTTGTCCTGGTGTGCAATACTGTAATCCCACTACCATCGATATCGGAGAAGAAAAAGACACCCACTGCCCACAACCCCGAAGCCTAGCGTCCGACTTGCCACCGCGCACACACTCGAGTATGGAGCTCGTGTATCCAGTTCACGTGTGGTCCATGACCATGGCCACCTTCGAAATCAATCCGACTTCCAATAGCTATATTCCACCCACCCACCTCTCATCTCTCCATCTGCTTATCTATCATTCCCCACCTTCAAATCCCGAATTCCATTAAAGCCCCTCCAAGGAATGATAATAGGCTACCCTCACGCCCTGCCCACTCGAGCACCTTCGAGTTCCAACAGATCTAGATCTCGAATATCACCGTCTTTTGCATATATAATTAAATAAAATAAATTGCAACCCGAGAAATTGAGTTAGTAGCGAGACCTGCAGTTTCCATTATTATACTTTTTTTTAAGTTTGAAATGACCTTGCCTTGGCTTAGGATGTAGGTAGTTCCGAGCGTGCGATATTCTGCAGTAGGCCTGGTCGAGCGTGGATGTTGCCCAGGTTGGGGTGGGGGAGGGTTCGGAGAAACATCAATTATAATAAAAAGGAAAACTTAATTCCAACTTCGAATCCAACCTCAACATCAACCCAAACCTCTTCTCCAAATTCGATGCAATGCCATTGAGCAATCATAGGAGCCAACGAGTCCGGAGGTCCGGACTTCATTATAACACTCCCCCAATCCCCACTCCCCATAGGGGAAAAAACCAAAGACAATGACGACACACTCACTCACTCGAAAATCACCTCAACCAAAACCAAGAACAAAAAATAACTATCCAAAAAGAGAAAGAAAATAAATTGCCTCCTAGCGGAATTGAACCGCTGATCTTCGCATTTCAGAATGCCGTTCTCTAGACAGAAGACAGCCCGTACAAGTGCGACGCTTTACCACTGAGCCAAGGAGGCGTGTATGCGATGTATGCGATGTATGCGGAACTCGAGATGCAGTCTATATTCATTCCTAATTTAGGTAGCTGCATATCCGTGGATTGAAATTGAAATTAAGATTAAGTCTTTCGGGAACGATGTCTTGCAATGATATAAATTAGGGGGCCGATCAATGTCCTATGGCTGGAACCAGAGGTGAGCGAACTGGGTTCCGTTCGAACATGAACAAGGTGGACTGTTAAATACTTGTGTTATACGCCTGAGAAATGAAAACTGAAATGCGAAAGCTAGACTGTACTGTGGATATAGAAGTAAGTAGGTATATCGAACTCCGGATCGACCCCATCCTCGCGGGCCACATATGGCCAATGGATAAGGAGGGGGTCGATAAGTACATTTACAGAATGAGCGAGACTGCTCGCCCTTTTTTTTCTCTTTCCTTGCGCATAACTCCTCCCCGCTCATTCTTTCCTTTTTTCTCAATTAGATTTTATTACCCGGGACGGGTATGTTTGTATGTATTTTTGGGTGAATGTGTCTTTTCGGGTTCAGAGTTCGGAGGTCGGATGGGAATTTAGAAACAGTTGCATGGGAAAAAGGGGGAAAATAGGCAGATTGGAAGCAACATCACACCGACGCACTTTCCTCCCCCTTTGCCCGCACAAAAAGGGCTTCTGGGGTGGGGACAGTGTACTTTCCTTACCCAGAACTCGTCACCACCTCCCGTGAGGCTCAGTGTGCCGAGCATGGCGCTCAGCCACACCACATGCCATCATGCTAAGCTAGAAAAATTGAACTAATAACTAAAGATCCTATTATCTCGGAGACGGCTATCGCTGGTCGTTAAAGAAAATATGGAGTGGCTCGTAGTATCGCTGGCTGTCGGCGTAAATGATGGACGGAGAAATAGTGGGAAGGGGAAGTAGTGGGATATATAGTAGGATAGTGGTAGATAGTGGTAGTTATCTACTAAATGTCGCTCAGAAAAAACCACTTTCTTTCCCCACCATAAGGTTGATGCGGGTACTGACCCACGCCAAAATAACCAAAATGACCATTTATTATTAGGTATCTGGACAAAGATATAGTACCTGCGTAGCCATCTAGGCATGTGAGTCTTGGCATGAGTCTGAGTACCTGCACGTACCAAAAAACAATTCTGTGATTCGTACGCATACTGCAAGAAATGGATCCCTTGGTCACCAAAAGCACGCTTTGCATCCAAGAGTGGAACCCTCGAAACCTTTGCGGCAAGTGGCGAGATGCACTGATTTATGAATACTGGCCACCCCTAGCCTCGAGTCTAGCCCATTCCCCCTCCTCAAAATTTGTACCTCCCTCATCTCACGTCCCTCGCGTAAGTTGATCCCAACAACAATATCCAAATATCCGCACAACTGTAAAGTAAGTAGACCATATTCGCCTCACCCCACTTCAGCCAGGCTAAGCTAACCCCCCCGCTTGCAGAAAGAATCCCCATTCACCTTCAACATGGCCAACCCCCAGCTGAAACTTGCACAAACCCTTCAAGGCGTTGCGGAGGGTGTGGGGAATATCGCGGCCGATGTAGGCATCGTTGCAAACATGCCAGCCCTCGCAAATGCCAATGAAATGAATGCTGGAATCCAGCAGTTATTGGTGCAGATGAGGGAATTTCGGGAGCAAATGAGGCAAGTCCAGGAACAATTGGGGGAATTGCGGCGCCAGTATGTAACACGCTTTGGTTTGAGCTGAAGAGAAGATGCTTGCTGACGATGGACCTAGAGGCTCACATTTACCAGTTCTGCTCCACAACTCCACACGGGGGCTGGACGGCCGGTTGGCGTACCCAAATGACGTAGACAGAGAGAACCTGCCCGAAACAAGGGCAGACCTTTATCACATGGATGGTATGTACATCTGTCTTACACTGACACCTATATACTAACATATTGCCTGGGCACAGCGATGGCATGTCGGCAAGCGGCGGCAGCCCTTGCACTTCCTGCTTTACGCGGGAGGTCTTCCATGAAACGCAAGCGGAATCAGATTGCAGAATACCTGGGTGTGAAGAGGATGGAATAATGTCGTCATGCCGGCCTTGCTAGTGCCGATCCCCTTTCTCGCTCAAACTGGGCTTTTTGCATTTTTTTTGCATTTTTCTATTACCAAAAATTCCCCTCATGTCTAAAAGCTCCTAAAATGAGCAATGTTTCACACAAAAAAATTGTACCTTCTAACTACTATAGAGTGTCTCCGTTCATAGCCAACAAGCAGATAGAATCATTACAAGACTACCCTGCAGTAGGTATAATAATTTGAGTTATTCATTCATGGGAGTCGTGTGCTAGGAACCTGAAAACTCCTAACTACGGATAAATCCCGTTATAAGCATACCCTCGGGATCAGAGGTGATACGCTTCTAACGAAAACATGCTTATATCGGGAGATACCTTTTCCTGTAAATTCAGGATTCGTAGCTTTGTGATATATACAGAACTGAAATTTATGCTTATATCAGGTATGCTTATAACGGCAGTAATCTGTACGCATATCTTCGATACAAGCATAAGAATAATCCAATATACAAGGGGCAAGCCTACGGGTTGGGTTGCTACATCGACAATGGACAACGAATTTAAGCGAATCTTGGAATTCCTGTCGAATTCTACAAAGAAAAGCAAGTGCGGAGATTCCTACTAAAAATTAAGGCAGAAGCACTTATTCAGCCAAGCGGCAATGGTCTGCATATACCGTAGAATCGGGGCGATAAGCATATATGCTTAGAAGATTTTTGCAGAGCGAGGCAATAGGATTTGCATGCTTATAGGCCCGACATAGCTTATAGCCAGGACTGTGCTTATAGTATTTGAAGTTTTGGTTTTGATGTTGATTGATCGATAAAAGTGAACAAGAACTCAAAATTTATAGTAGTTCTTCCTTCCTTTTTCACTCCCGTTATGCATGCTCTAATCTCTTGAAATTGTTTAATCCTCCCGACATGCCCTATTACTTGAAATTATTCTTCACATCTTAGTGCTAATATCCTGGCACAAATCAATTCAGAACCGTGGTGCAGTTTTTCTGTGCTTATAGGTCAGTATGTGCTTATAGGAGTGTATGTGCTTATCGCCCCGATTCTACGGTAAGCACTTAGCTGCATTGGATGCTGCATACGCTGCATCGACTAGGTTGCATGTGCAGCCTCGTCATCAATATCAATGCCAACATCTTGAGTTTAATACCATCGCGAGTTCAACAGCATCTCGAGTTTAGCAGTATTTCGAGGTTAATAGCGATCCACTTTGAAGTGGACTGCTCCCCACGGCCACTACAGCGTCTACCAGCTTCCACGAGAGCTACACCCTCAGCGGGGAAACCTCCCCCCCAAAGTACTGTCCTCCCGAAGCTAACCTGTACTCCTCAATAGCTGAGCTTACCTCACCAATCCCAAAAAAGACTCCAAGGCATATAAAAGATGTGGTTCAGCAAGTGCCTTGAAGGGAGCGTAAAATTGTGCTGGAGATATGGGGAATCCAAGCCGCTGGCGCAGGACTATGGGAGAGCATATATAGCACAATCAATCCTGGCCTTTGCCAACCTCCACTCCAGCACTGGCAGTCTTACCCCAGCCCTCCTCTAGCTTGGATATATTCAGAGTGAACTCACTCAGTCGGCCAGCAGGCAACCCGCCAATCCACACCAAAGTTTCAACCTTCTCCATGCCTGAGGCGTGCCAGTCTATCACAGGTGAGTCATTGGAAAAGGCCAACACAGGGTCGCGCCATCTTCAAGCTTAAAAAGCCTGAAATACAAAATGAACAGGATGGGGGAGATTGAATCTCCCTGTACTTCAAAGGAGTTGGATTAATGATGGCCTACTCTAACTGTGTTGCTGGTTAGAAATGTCATTTTATGTAGGGTGAGGAGTTTCTGGGTATTTACAATAGATTGCTGAACGCAATGATTTGAATTCGAATTACCAAATGAGAGTAGATGGATCTGCAATACCGCACTCGCTTTTTGTCAGAAATTAATTTGAAGAACACTTTGAGAGTAGAAACCTGAAAGTTTGTTGGGTCTTTTCCATGGGGATCGGTTGTGACGAAATTATCTCACATTATATGGACGATAAATCAATAAAGCATCGTACGTTTGTAATCACGGATCTTGCTGTGAGAATATCATATCGGATGCTTCAAGCCAAGGATTTCGAACCCACCACCCATGGCCGCACGTTCCACTATCCGGAAACCAACATACCAGGAAATGCGCTGGGTATAACATCTCACAGCGACGACCGCGCCAAACTCGAGCTTTGCTGATGCCCTCTCGTGAAGAGAAATTAGGTTCCCGAAACAATCACCGCTAGAGTAGTTATGATCGATGCCTCAAACACATTTCATCCAATGCATAAAACTATGCCGGTTGGGGAAGTAAGTATAAGCGGGGGTGGGGTTATTCACATATGATATTGGCACCACGAGACTAAATTTATTACTCCGAGACTGTAGAAAGAAAAGATTCAAAAACAATTCGAAATCTTCCACTGGTACTGGTTATATTCAGTACATTGGGTAGTAATTTTATTTTGATGTGATTCTGTGGATGTTTTTCTCTTGTTCTGCCAAGCAAGCCCATTACCGACTCTTAGGTGAGTACTTGGAGTTACATATATTGAATTTCCTTCCCTACCACATCGATATCGATATCGTGCGCTCATGTTCTTTCTCTTGAGCGCATTCACGCTGAAATATTCCAGTCATGAAGCATATGATGAAAACTGCTGATGTGTGGGATAGCGTGCGTGCATAGTTCATCCTATTATTCTGGTGCCAGTGGATGCAGCTCGGGTTGATATATGGATTGTGCTGCAAGTGAAGGTTATTTGAAATTTGAACGCGGTACTGGCCGTATATCCTGTTCTCGGATTACAGTTATGATCAATGTCCACAGGCGTATGACAAGGAATTTAAAGTCATGATCAATGTCCACAGGCCTATGACAAGAGGATCCGGAGAAGAATATCTGAATGGAAT